CAGCAGGGTAAGGATCACTCACTGTGTAACCGTACAGGGTCAGTGTTCAGTCAGCAGGGTAACTGTTCTTTATTAGAGTTATATAAGTTCTTTTTTTGTACTGCTTCCAAGAGAGAATATTCTCAGTTGAGCTGAGAGCACGCTGCAGGAGGGATAAACACAGTCGGATCACTGATCCCTGTAGTAATACCATAGGTCCTAAAAATTAAAAAAATAACAGAGTGAGTGAAGGTTTGTTCAGAAATATTGTATTTCACAGATATTGAACTGGCACGACTGGGGAAAATGCAGCAAACTATCTGAGCTGCTCAGATCTTGCCAACAGTGAGACAGGTTGTTTATGACCCTATTGGCACCGAAGCTGGTGTTTGGCTACAGGGCACTGGATTCCTTAGAACCCTTACCAATATCATAGAATCTCTACAGTACAGAAGCAGGCCATTCAGCCCATCACATCCACATTAACCTTCCACAAAAACATCCTACCCAGGCCCACCTCCCCAACTGTACAACCCTGTATTTCCCACGGCCAATCCACCCTAACCTGCACATCCCTTGGCACTATGGGACAATTTAGCACGGCCAATCCACCCTAACCTGCACATCCCTGGGCACTATGGGGCAATTTAGCACGGCCAATCCACCCTAACCTGCACATCCCTGGACACTATGGGGCAATTTAGCACGGCCAATCCACCCTAACCTGCACATCCCTGGACACTATGGGACAATTTAGCATGGCCAATCCACCCTAACCTGCACATCCCTGGACACTATGGGACAATTTAGCACAGCCAATCCACCCTAACCTGCACATCCCTGGGCACTATGGGGCAATTTAGCACGGCCAATCCACCCTAACCTGCACATCCCTGGGCACTATGGGACAATTTAGCACAGCCAGTCCACCCTAACCTGCACATCCCTGGACACTATGGGGCAATTTAGCACGGCCAATCCACCCTAACCTGCACATCCCTGGACACTATGGGACAATTTAGCATGGCCAATCCACCCTAACCTGCACATCCCTGGACACTATGGGACAATTTAGCACAGCCAATCCACCCTAACCTGCACATCCCTGGGCACTATGGGAATTAGCCAGGTCATGTGATGGTGTCCACATTCCGAACCAATGGATGAGACACGAGATCAGGTGACCAAATGCATGGCCAATGAGGCAAGTTTTAAGGTAGCATTTCACAAATCTTTTCCCACCATGACCCCATGACTGAGACTTGACGATCCTTCAGTGAGAGCTGAGAAATGGATGCTCTGTGAATCGGGGGAGTTGGGGGGCAGTTACTGTAGGAACGCAGCTGATGTAACACTGTCACATCTCTGGTGGCTCAGTGGTTAGCGCTGCTGCCTCACAGCGCCAGAGACCTGGGTTCGATTCCACCCTCGGGCAACTGTCTGTGTGGAGTTTGCATATTCTCACCGTGTGTCTATGTGGGGTTTCCTACAGGTGCTCTGGTTTCCTCCCACAATCCAAAGATGTGCAGGTTTGGGTGGATTGGCCGTGCTAAATTGTCGCACAGTGCCCAGGGATGCGCAGGTTAGCGTGGG